AGAGAGAGAGAGAGAGAGAGAGAGAGAGAGAGCGCCAGACAGAGACAGGGACAGGGACAGAGACAGAGACAGAGACAGAGACAGAGACAGAGACAGAGACAGAGAGAGCAAACCAAGTTCTTGCTATGTGACCACTCAGCCTAGCTTGGAACTTGCTATGTAGCCCAGGCTGACCTCCAACTTGTGTTGATGCTCCTGTCTCTACCTCTCAAATAGTGGGACTACAGGTGTGCTTCATTATGTCTGACTAGAAACTGAACAGTACTTAGGTTAACTATTTTCTCTTAGTTGGCCCTGACGGGTGGAAGACTGCTTTCATGTACAAGGTCTGGGTCATTTTTGTAAGAGGGCAGTACCATACTTCTTTAATTAAAACTGCAAGGGACAGAGAACCTAAGAGCACTCTTTTTCTTTTTCCTTTGTTCCTGTCTTGTCTTCCCAAGATGTTTTTGATTTACTGTATTAGAAACTGTAACTTCCCAGGCAGCAAGATGACTCAGCAGGTCAGAGTGCTTGCCTTCCAGCCAGAAAAGCTGAGTATGCTCCCTGGGTCACACATGGTAGACAGAGAAAACTGACTCCAGTGGTTTGTCCTCTGACCACATATGCACCCAGGTGTACACACACACACACACACACACACACACACACACACACACACACACACACACACAGAGTAAATAAATGTAATTGTAAAGCATTACTTCCTATCTCTCCATATTCAGTCTCCTTTCAAGGACATTCTTCCTCCAATAAAATCTCCTAATGTTCTGTGCTGTGTCTAGTTAAAATTATTATTTTTTTAAGTTTGGAGAAATTTTTTAATTAATTAAATTACAGTTTGATATGGGTATAATTTCTTTTGCTCACATTCATCCCCATCACTTTCTCCTGCCTCATTCCGTGTTCTACTGTGAATCTACGGAGTCAGAGCTAGTTTGAATTCCCTGTTCTGCTCTTCATTACTCACCAGATTTCAGCATGCCATTTAGATCATTTCATCGCTGTGACGTATGACCAGTGTTCCCACTGGCTCACTCTCCTCCCCCGATCTTTCTCTCCCTTCCCCTCCCACTTCTACACGTTTTGCAGTAAAGTCCTTGGAAGTTTCAGTTAGTCAGACTTGAGGATATCCTTGCGTTGGTCCTTCCTTGGACTTTAAGTCTCTAACTCAGTTCCTCTCTCACTACAGTGAAGAAACACCACTTTGGTCCACTCACCAGCTTGCCAATGATCCAGCTGATAGTCACCCCCTCAAATGCGCTTGCAGATGAGCCTGTGTCCATCCGAGCCACAGGCCTGCCTCCGTTGCAGATAGTGACCATCAAGGCGACACTGAAGGATGAGAAGGAGAAGCTCTTCCAATCCAAAGCCTTCTACAAGGCCAACGAGGCTGGCGAGGTGGACCTGGAGCAGGCATCAGCCTTGGGGGGTGACTACGTAGGGGTCCACCCAATGGGCCTCTTTTGGTCTCTGAAGCCAAAGAGAGCTTTCCGGAGGCTGATGAAGAAAGATGTCATGAATAGCCCCTTTTGTATCACTCTGGACCTGTATGACTCTGTTTGCTTGATAGATTCAGCCACAATTAGACCCAAGGCCTGCCAGATGGTGCAGCGTTGGTTTGCTGGCCCTGGGGTTCAGCGGAAGCAGATCCGAGAAGGTCGGGTACGCGGAGCCCTTTTTCTACCTCCAGGTGAGAATCATCTTTGTTGATACAGAACATAATTTTTTTCTACTTGTGACCTCTTTTTACTGTAGGAATTTTAACATGATTCTGGGCATATAAATATATGAGACAGGTGTAGAAAGCAGAGAGTTAGTGATAATAAAACATAGAAAATGAATTTAAAACAGTTCCTTGGTATATACATGATTTTACCACTTATTAAAGAAGAAAGCAAATTTGCACACTGATGAGATGTATGGGCTTACCTAGAATTAAACTTTGGTAGACTATTTGAGATGATAGGACATGGATAGGATATCTTCAATGTTTTTCAAAACTGGCTGATATTTTGGTGTTCATAATTGTCAATGCTAAGAAATCTGCTTCACATAAATATGTAGTAAGGAATGGCACCAGCATGCTTTACGGCCATTTAAAAACTTGTTGAAAATTCTACCCATATCCTAAATTAAAGTTCATTTAATGAGTTTGATGAAACTCAAGCCAGTAAGTCAAAGAGCAGTTTTTAAAATCAGATATTCTAACACAATAGGAATATTTTAATTTGATGCATGTGGTAGAATGACTGGAAGAAACCCATCAGAAGTCCTTGTTTTCTGTAATTAAACCACTGTGTGTGTCTCTGGGAACACAAAACCTGTGTGTGCAGGAAAAACACTGGGGTTCATAACACACAATGAATAAACTTGACTCGGAGCCCAGGTGTTTGAGGCAGCAGCTAAAAATCGAAGTCCGGCAGGCACCAACAGAAACACCTTAGGACCACTACTCATTTTGTTTTGAATTAAATTTTAGACACTGCAGATTTAAATGGTTTCTTATTGTCAAATTTCCCCCATAGTCACTTATGTGAGCCCCATATCCATTTGTGACCGACAATTTCAGAAGCTGTGATATTGGTAACAATTCAGATGAAATAAATGTGCACTCTCATGTGGACGTGTGTGTGTGTGTGTGTGTGTGTGTGTGTGTGTGTGTGTGTGTGTGTATGTGTGTGTGTATGTGTGTGTGTTTGTGCGTGCATACATGCATATGTGAGCATGTATGAGTGTGTACCCTGTGCCTGTATGTAATTCATTTGTGCTGCCTTTGTTTTCAAAGGCTGCTGTACTTAACTCTCTTTTGATCCCACTTTCTTGTTTCTTTTTTCTCCCAGGAGAAGGTCCTTTCCCAGGAATTATTGACATGTTTGGGAGCATTGGAGGTCTAATTGAATTTCGTGCCAGTCTTTTGGCTTCCCATGGCTTTGCAGTACTGGCATTAGCATATTTTGCCTATGAAGACCTGCCTGATAAACTGCTGGAGACTGACTTGGAATATTTTGAGGAAGCTGCCAACTTCCTACTAGCTCATCCCAAGGTACTTAAAATACTTTTTGCTTCATCTTGCAAAATTATAGGAAAGACAAACTACAAATGTCTGGTCTAATCAGTGCAGCCTTGGGCAGAGCACAGCTTACATTTTAAGAATGATAGGATAGTTGAGCTGATTAGTAATTACTGGTTACTGGCGTACAGAAGACAATGAATACATGGGGCACATATTGTGATTCTCTTCAGTGGGAAAAAGCCAAGAAATGGTACATTTGAAGCTCTCACAATATATTCATAAGTGGGTCTTTAATGTTCTATCAGTCACTGGTTCTGAATCCTGAACTCGATATGCTTGCACACATCAGTGATGGTCTCTACATGATGTCATGCTAGTGTAGGTCACACTCAAGGATCTGAGACCAATATTAATGCAGAAGTTCAGAACTGAAACTGAAGCACAAGAGTACAACACAATTACCAACCAAACTTACTTGATCCAGTACTCTGACTTCCTGAATTAGCTCTTCAGTTATTTTAAGAGCTATGGGTTGGAGGACAAAGTAACTAGCCAATGTCATGAACTAGACTCAGGAGAGAAATCTGAAAAGGAAGGGTCCTTTTAGAACTCATGGCTAAGTATCACTGCAGCAATGAAATGGGGGCCATGGTCTAGTGGCCTCAGCATCACTTGAGATCTGATAGAAAGGAAAACTTCTAATCCCTAATTCATAATCAGCATCTTCATGTTAACATGAAAATAAGTGTTTCTTATATACATTAAAATTTGAGAAGGACTGGAGTATACCTCATAACGTAGCTTTTCCTAGGAAGTAAATATCAGTTGAATTGTGACTTAATTTGCTTAGAGAGGTCCCACAGTGTTGGTATTTGTGCTCCTAAGAAGAGACACATAAAAGGTAGATACCATATAGTATCTACAGAGTTGAGAGTTGAGATGCTCCTTAATTTAATCATATTATCATTTTGTAGATCAACAATGTTCACTCATATATTAGATATGCGTGTCCAAGCTAACAAAGGTAAAATAATAAAGGCACATACATCCCTGACATTTGCTCGGTGACTATTAAGCACTCCATTCACTAGCAATATTTGATATGTACCATCCCATCCAACATTCACAGCAGCTTCATGGCATAAATACAAAAGGCTGAACATTTCTAACTCAAAAATATAAAATCTGAAATTATAACATTTGAATGTAAACACAATGGACTCCTGTATGGATTTCAGATTTCCACAGTGCAGCTTATCTGCCAACAGATTCTGTGCAAATATTTCAAAGTCTGAATGCTCCAGATTTGAAACATTCTGGCTATGAGCTTTTTTGATCTGTAACAGCATTTCTTCTCCTTCTCCTTCTTCTTGTAATTCTCATTTTTGTTCTTCTTGTTCTTGTTCTTCTTGTTCTTGTTCTTCTTGTTCTTGTTCTTCTTGTTCTTCTTCTTGTTCTTCTCCTTCTTCTCCTTCTTCTCCTTCTTCTTCTTCTTCTTCTTCTTCTTCTTCTTCTTCTTCTTCTTCTTCTTCTTCTTCTTCTCCTCCTCCTCCTCCTCCTCCTCCTCCTC